ACACACACACACACACACACACACACACACACACACACACACACACACACCCACACACACACACAAACAACACACTCACCAGCAGCGAGAGACAAAATCTACATATCTAATCCTGTAGGCATCCAAATGTCATCCCCAGTACCTTTGACTCATGGCAACTAACGCACACACACAACAATTTTTAACCCTACATGAAAAGTTTTAAAAAGTCGTCACTGGTAAAGAAAAACAACAAACACTCACCTCAGAGTGGGACCTGCTGCTGCGTGGAAACGTCTGAATGTGTGCTCCGACTCATACACTTGAAAGTGCCCACACACGTGCGGGCTCCACAGCAAACTGTGTGTGTGAGGACAATGAGATTGGAATGGATGGAGCTAAGCAACAGAAGCACAGCCAAGAGGAGGAGGAGGTTAGGCGGGAATGTGGAGGGAGAGAAAGAGAGACAGAGTTAGGTGATACAACAGCACAGAATTATATATAAATGGTAAAATCTTAGTACTTTAGTCAGTGTAAAAGTTCAGAGTGGAAAGGTATAAACTGTAAAAGTTTCAAGTGTAATGGTACGGAGTGTAAAAGTGTAGAGTGTAGAGTTGTGAAGTGTAAAAGTGAAGTGTAAAAATACAGAGTGTAAAAATTTGGGATGTAAAGGTACATAGCATAAAGAAGCAGAGTGTAAAGATACTCCTTGTAAAGGAGCTGAGTGTAAAGCTACAGACTGTAAAGGAGCAGAGTGTTAAAGCAGAGCATAAAGCTACGACGTGTAAAGGTACACATTGTAAAGGAGCAGAGTGTAAAGTTACAGATTGAAAAGGAGCAGAGTAAAGCTCCAGATTGTAAAGGAGCAGAGTGTAAAGTTACAGATTGAAAAGGAGCAGAGTAAAGCTCCAGATTGTAAAGGAGCAGAGTGTAAAGCTGCAGATTGTAAAGGAACAGAAAGTAAAGCTGTGTGTTTTCTGAGAGTTTGTGTCTAGAGGCTCCGAGGGGTCCATTCCTGAAGTCTGTTTACGTGTCCCACRCTCCATCAACTGTCTTGTCTGTATAGCACATCTCATGGCTTCTTATCCCACATGCCTTTTTCTCTTCATCTTCATCATCTTTACCTCAAAGTCTCTCTGTTTTCAACAATCTTCTTTATCTTATAGTTATTTTCAGTCAGTTCAACTGAGCTTGTCAATGAGAAATTCTTTAAAGCAAACCATACTCACTAATTKATTTATAATTTACATGTTAAGTTTTCAAGTTACATTACTATGTAAGTTCAAGCCATTTACCTTTCACCAAAAAAAATCATACTACCATTCTGTTTCCTTAAAGATTATTTTTAGCTGATATATTACAAAAATATTTACAAATCAGAGTTGGCTGGCAGGTTACTTCAACTTTTTATATAACCTCAATTTAAAGGTATCGCCACCCCTGCTGGTTGTCGCATGACCTGCACCTGTTCCCCCATGTTTTTGTCCTGTGTGTCTTCTTGAGTGGGTGTTCTTCAATGTAAATTCATTGTGCTCCGTACAATGACAAAAAAGGCATCATCAAATCAAATCAAATAAATTCTTATACATTGACGTCATCAAATTCAGCATGAACAACTTCGAAGTTGGGAGAATCCAAAAGTTGGAAAATGTAGAAAAAGACAAAAAATMATTCTTTCAAAAACATCCTCAAAATAATTTAAATAATTTTTGTACAGCAAAAAGACAAAAAACTAAAACTGATCACACAGCGTGCTCCAGGTTTCTGCTTGTGTGTAATTGTGTTTTTGTCTGAGCGAAGCCTCAATCTGCCGGCACAGCCACATAAAAGCCAATCTCTACGACCAATTATTCACCCCTCAAAGGCAGACAAATGGAGTGAGCTGGGAAAAAAACAGAGCCTGGGGTAGAGGGGAGATTTAGTTAGACCTATAGACAGTGACTGACAGAGAGATCCTTTAAGGGTCCACAAAGAAGGAATTAATTAGAATGAAAAAATGATGGTTAGGGATAGAAAATTTCTTCTTTSCCTGAGTCCGAGGAAAGACTCTGCAATTAGTCAAAGTCCCAAACAGAGCCTGTAGACACAACTCTGTAGAGAGAGGCAGTGAGAGAGACAAAGATGAAAGCCCAAATGAAAATGCCGAATGGGACAGAAGAGCTGAAATTGTTAGAAAAGTGACTGGCAAGAACATGCKATATTTTTTTTCTCCCTTCATATTTGTCTTCGTACCCTCTTGAGGCAATCACTGCCTGTCCTGTTTCCTCAACCCCYTTAATCTTCTACCCCCTTGTTCTCTTCTTCTCCTTCTTCTCCCTCTTTCTCTTCTCTGCTCTCCGGGATATTCCATCAAAGAAGAGCCTGGCTTGTTGCAGAAAGAGACATCGCAGTGCTTCTTGCTATCTTCTCTTGTTGGACTCTTCTTTTCACTTGTCGACAAGAGCATTTTTCTTTCTTCCCGGCAGCGGTGACACACAGCGTGGGGGGGATTGAGGACATGGAGGAGTGCAGAGAAGGTCTGAAAGCAAACCCAAAAAAATTAATAAATAAAGGATAAAGTGGGGGAGGGAAGCAGCAAGTGTAGCTAGAGGGAGCGATGAGCGGGGAATGACAGGAAAAGGCAGGTGGAATGGGTAGTGACACATKGCGGAGGTGTGCAAAGTGTGTCAGAGCACGGGGGCTGTCCCTGCAGCCGACACACCACCACCAAGGGGGAGGTGGGGACGGATGGACAGAGAGCTGAAACAGGATAGATGGAAGGAGTGATTCAACAAGCGTGCCACCTCCTCTCTCCCTTCCTTTCACACACACACACACATACACACACACACACA